TAAAAAGATCACTTTATTTGTATTTTATATACTATTTATGTTGAAGGGTTTATTACAGCATGGCTTAGTGTGTTAACTACACCCTCTTAAGCAGGCAGATGACATTTTTTTAAAGGGTTTCAGCTTTATGTATTTCATTCTTAAAGGGTGTTCTTGTTTTTTTGCCAAGAATAATATGTTAAACTACTCATCCTATAGCGGTTTGTGAGATGTGTGAATGTTTTATTTTGTGTCTCGTTTTGTAAAGTTGCTTTTACTATAAATGAAGCTTGTTAATGCAAGTGGTTTTAGTCAACAGGGACAAATTATTTAGATTTCTTGAGTGACACACAATTTAAATTTGATTTTGGGTACTTGGTTTTTTGTAGCATTAGAATTGGGACAGCCTGTAAATAAAAGGGAGGAAATGTATGGTACAGGATGGTAACTTGTTATCAACCCCCTTAGTTAATAGGAAAATGTTTCAAAATTTCTGTTTTTCTTTGAATTTAGTGTGTACTTAAAAAGTCAGTCACATAATCAGCCCAAATTTCTTTGTCCTACTCAACATGATTATCAAAATTCATTAGTTATCCAGTAGGTACATTCTCTTGTAGAGAAGACAATAACTTCATTGCGAAAGAAATATGGCTATCTTTTCTGTTGGTACATATGAGTACGTATGGCTCTAGGCCATGTTTGAATGAAGTAACCAGTTTGTCCTTGTTATTGTGTTTTGAGATTTAAAACCAGGTTTTCATACAGAATCAGATTTCCTAGTTCTCCAACAGATATGGTTGCATTTAACTTTAGCTAGATTCCTTAGTGACTTGAAATTAGCATTTTACCGTTTTAAGATTAACCTGGTTTTACTTCAACTCCTGGGGTTGCTATTAGTTAACATTTTCTTTTAGTTTACAGAAGGGGCTTAAAGTGGAGTGGTGAGAGAGGACCAATAAAGGTTTCTTTTTCATGTCTCTCTCACTGGTTCAACACATCCATATTAAAAGTCTGTATTTTGTGAATAAAGGTTGTTGGGCTGTATATCTTTATGCATTGTCTGATACTTGTTGAAAAATTCATGTTACCGTTCAGAAAGAGACACAAACTATACTCTGTGGCATGGTAGTTTTTTAACTTCCTATTAGTTGCCCCTGTTAAGCATAAAACTACACTATGGACTATCTGTACTGTGCCAACCATGAGTATCAAAACCTTGGTTTTAGCATTACAAGTCCTCAGACTTACTGCTGAGCCACTGGAGAGGGTGGGTGGAGAGGTCCTAATTGCATACTCTGCCTAAAAAGTGCACTGGATTATACCACAGACCTAAAGAGTTATTTTGGGATATATATAAAAGCTTCAAGATACATCTGGACTCTGACACTGATTTCATGTCATCAAAGGATCTGTGTTGAGTTCTTATTTGTTATGCTTTGACACAGGTTAAATTGTTATTTATGCTCTATATTGACAACCAAGAAACTGGCCCTTTGCAACTGATTGCTTTCTTGTGGATTCTGGTAATATATATTGCTATAGGTTAGTCTAGAAAGTTGGAACCTAATCTTTGAATTTTGCCTCAGACAGCTCAGTTAAAATCCTTGGGGATTCCTCACCTTTGATACCAATATTTTGACAGCACTAACCTAAGATTTCTTTACCTAGTTCTTCTATTTATTGAACTATATCCTCCCTGAGAAATTACTCAGAGTATGGTGATGTAGAGTGCAAATACATCTCACTCTAGAATTTTATACTGTTTCATGAAATAGTTGTATTGCATCTTATATTATCTTTTATAAGTGGAACTACTCCATGACTATTATGTGGCACAGAGAAAATGTGGAATATGCCAATAGTTTAAGCATTTTCCACCAGATTCATTTTGGAAGAGTCAGGACTTGCTGTGTCAGTCTTATCTGTGTTTCATCGATTATCTTACTAATTATGTTTATCTTTTTATTTTAGAAACAACCAAATCATTTTTATTTACTTCATTTCCTATAGCTTTTTTCCACTAATAAGGTGTTCATTTATATTTCAGCTTCAATGTGTCTTGACATTCTTTCCACAACAAATCAACACTAGGTTCGTGAATCCTTCAAGTAACTGTGTGCTTGGTTAGGCTTTTGAATACCACATTTTTTTAATAGATGAAACAGACCATTGGATACTGCCATGTGCTTCTTTATGTAGCTATAGTGCCAGTCCTACAAATGCAAACTTAAAAATACTTTGGGTGAAAGTGACACTAAAGGAGAAAAAAAGGTTTATTTGTTTTGAATTTTGCACAAAGCCACACGAGGGCTATCTGTGCTAGCCATCCCTAATTTAGCAGTATAAGACTAGAGGGAAGGCAGCTAGTCATCATCACCCACCGCCAACTCTTGAGCTACCCTTTTACCAACGAATAGTGGGATTGACCATCACTTTATAACATCCCCATGGCTGAAAGGGCAAGCATGTTTGGTGGGACAGGGATTCGAACTTGCGACCCACAGATTGCGAGTCGATCTCCCTAATCACTGGGCCATGCCGGGCCGTGGAAAAAGAAGGACCGAGCCAGCTGGAGATGGCCACGTATCCTAGTCATGACAGTGGGAATTTCTTTCCCAAAAACTTCTTCATGATGACATGAGAAGATCCTGGAGCAGAAATAAATGAGTGTTAATAAAAAAAAATCATAGTTATGAAGGCCTTATATGGTTGTAAAGATGAAGAAGTTTTAAACTTAGTAGTTTTTATAGTTTTCTGTATAACAGGCTTCAAAAATAATAAACAAATATCGCGAACAAAATTTAAGTAAATGAAATCAATTAGTACATTTAATTTTCTTACATGAAGTTTTCATCTTCCAGCTTTGGCCCAAGACTATTTTACTCCACTCAGCATATATATGTATGTGGGTTACACTAACTTATGCGGGTTCCTCAATGATCCAAAAGAGGCAGAACACTTGTTTTTATTACTCACAGTCAAGCACGGAGTGCTTTTAGTGACTACAAAATTTGAAACAATAAATTTGGTTTCCTGGTATTTTTAGTTAGGGAGCAAATATACAGATAAGACTCCCATCTCCACATTAAACATTCATATTCAGAATATGAAGGTTAAAAAAATTTGGTCAGGCTTATGTGTTTCTAAATGTTCGTCATATTACATGGCTGACCATGAATATTCAAACATGTTCTCTATTTACCACACATTAACAAATGGGTGACTAACTTTTGTCATTCAAACATGCCCTCTGGTTGCCACACCTTAACAAATGGGTGACTAGCTTATGTCATTCAAACGTGCCCTCTTTTTCGCCAGATATCAAGAAAAGGGTAACTCACTGCTGTCATTCAAACATGTCCTCCGGTTGCCACACATTAACAAATGGGTGACTAACTTCTGTCATTCAAACATGCCCTCTTTTTTTGCCAGATATCAAGAAAAGGGTAACTCACTGCTGTCATTCAAACATGTCCTCCGGTTGCCACACACTAACAAATGGGTGACTCACTGCTGTCATTCAAACTGACCATATATGTGGAAATCTAGAACAGCAAACATAACATGTCACAGAATCACTGCTTTAGAAATTAGCTTGTAAACAGAAATACACATATTAAGATGTTATAGTAACTGGGGTATAATTAGAAGTTGTGTTATTGTTTATAGTCACATATCGTCAATTTTCAAATGTCAATGCTCTGGTGCCCATTGTGAAAATATAACCATATGCACTGGTTAAACATTTTTGACAAACTATATGTATGTCAACTAGCTTTAAGGTTAAAAATAATCACATAACATATCCTATTTATAAAAGGCTGTCCAAATCTAGTACATAACCCTAGTTACGACTCAAAAACAAGATTTCAGACACATCTTAGACAGCTTTATTCCATATAATGTGAGAACTACAAGGTGGATACTTATTTTAGTATCTACGTAAGTACTTTCTAAAACCACAACTTAATATCTTCTAATTCTCAAAACAAAAAACTAAACACTCACAGAATAATTTGGAATAAAATCTAATTTACATGATTTTGATTATTCATGAATTACGAATTTTTCCCCTACTGTGAAAAAAATGATTAAACATGTTATGTATCTATAATTAAAGTGTAACATCCAATCATATGTCTAACAAAAGTCCACGACTTATGTAGTAGTGGCAAAACATCTAAATCTCATTACTTGGATAACAGGAATTATTGCTTGGTAACATTTTACTCGAACTGAAAGAAAATCTTAGATAATACTTTTATGAATGGGATTTAAAATTATGAAGATAGCAAGTAATAGTTTATTTATTTTTATAGTGAATATAACATCAATACTAAAATAAGAAATTTGATGTAATATTTCACTAAGAATATTGAGCATCAGAAAACTAAATTATGTAGTTAGGAAAAAAAAGTGGGGAACTAGTTCTTAACTAGTAATTAAATATTAGCAACAAATACACAGAATGACTTATTGAACTAGCCTACTATCAAAACACAGTTCCTACGTATTGTATACCCACAACCTTTTAACGACTTTCCAAAACAACATACAGAAGAGAAATATCACATGAAAAGTACTTCTAGCTCACAAAAAACACTTAACTAAGTAACTATAACATTCTCTGTACAAAAAAAAAAGAGTTCAGTTCAGCAGCACCTTAACATTCTAAACACAGCACACAATTCTGAATTCTAACTGCAGCTAGTTTTATCCATGTTTGGTTACAAGGATCTTTCAATTCTGTTTAATATGGTTTAAAATACATAAATTTCACAATTTGGAAGTTAATGATGGTATATTTTTATTTTAATAACTCACAAAGTAAACAAATTTTACACAACATACTATATATGCATAATTAATACAAACTATGACTAGTTTCACACATCAGAACGTTTAGGTGGCAAAGTTGTAAAAAACAGTCGTTTTCTCAAAGGATTTTACTATCAGTGATGCTTCATGAAATGTTTAGCCTATTTTCAAATGAAATGAATACAGTGTCTATTTGGTAGTGTGATTATTAAAAATTTAATGTTGACTTTCATGTTTCTATAATTTAACATTCTACAGATTTAAGTTGTAACGTATAATGTGGATCAACTTGTAGTACTGTTATTTATTAACCATCTATTCTTAACTCAAGTTAATAAGGAACAGCTTCAGACAAAACCTGTCTTAGTTAATGATATGCATCACTAACAGTTCTCCAAATTACACATTTATTTGATTTTAAATACAAATATATATATATATAGAAGCAAAAAGCAATTTTACAAACAAGCTCAAAAGTTAATTAAAAACAAAATTATCTATTTAAATATTTCTTTATACCTTCCATATATTGTGCTTTCACCACTTTTATCAGGGTTTAGAGATTAATCAATAGTGATGTGTAAATCTCCTGACATTTAGACATTTGTTTTCATAATAACTGAAAACGAAGAATATTTGACAATAGTAAAATGTATACGCAAATATATGACAATTATCAGAAATCAATTTCACAAAATAATAAAAGGACAGAAATAACACTATTCTCCAAAAATACAAAAGAAACATTTCTGGAGAAAGCAGTTATTATAACTGTCTTTTTAAACATGAAAATTTGATGCATGATATGGCACTGAAATTCGTTTAAAAAATTGAACTATATTATTTATACAAAAATTAAACACCCGAAAGTTTTCTGATGAAGCACCTGATATGAAATACTGGACAAAAAATCTAATCTAGTAAAATTACAAAACATAATATTATGTTTTAATATCCATCATTTCAAATCCTTGATGCCTAACATAGTAGAATAAACGAGAAGTTCCACAACAAATAATTTCATGCAATTTCTTTAAAAAAACATTATTGGGAGTAATTCTGGGAAGTAATATCACACCTGAGTTTCATGGTCTGTGTCATACACATGGAATTTAGTTTCCTTCACTTAGATTTCTGAATAAACATCAAATAGTGAATCATAGGGCTTTATATCAAAAACAAAATGGCCCTACCTTTAATGTTAAAAGACTTATTCCAACTGAGAAATTTAACAAGTCCTGATTTAAAAATGAAATAACATGTTTCTGATATCAATAATCATTCATTTAGATAATTATTTATATCAAAACAGAAACTTAATCAATATAAGCTAAAGATATTTATTATTAAGACACAAGGTAAAATAACCATTGAAATAACCAATGAATTAATGGTTGAGCTGGAAAACCCAAATTTTTACAAGTGAAGTAAATTCTGTATTTTAGCAATAAGAAGAACTTGATGATAAGAAACACAAACTTTTTAATGACTGTTTTCTAATATTTTTTACTGTGAAAAAAAGGCTTCTAAATCTAAGTAGAATGCTGTGAGTTTTCATACACAGAAAACGAGTCCACCAGTTCTAAGGCAACTTCATAGCAAAACTTGTACTGTTCCTGTAAATACACATAGCAATATAGTAAACATTAAAATGTTCTATATCTAATAATGATAATAATAAAAGCACTGAAAAAAAAAAACTCCTAAGCAGTTTTTCATCATAATATCTTATCCAGTTATAATAAACAAACTAAGAACATATAAGTATAGTAAAATGCTTTAGTTTGCATAGTGTTAGTGTTCAATACTAATTATCTGATTGTTGTTTAATAAGCACCATCCCTCTTCAAATACTGGTTTTTATTAATTGGCTTATAAATAACTGGCTGTAACACTAACATAAACCTAATTATGAAATATTATCTGTATTCCTAGTTCTTATAATTTTATAGACACATTGTGGTATTTTCAAATGTGCTGATAACCTTAGAGATAAATAGTAGTAACTAGAGCTTGGCAATAAAAGTTAACATTTTCTTACACTGAAAGTGTATTACCAATAGCTACTTACCTCCACCCACACAAAGCTACCTTGATCCTTGTCTGCCCTCTAAGCATTGCTAAAAAAATTTTTGTAATCAGCATACCAGTCTTTATACCCCATCAGGTTTATGCCATTTCTGAGCATATACATATCATGTATATCTGACATTCCTTCTCAATCCTCACTTTCGAGAATTGGCAGGTACCAAAATAAGAACACTCACAGTGGGGAGGAAGGGTGGGAAGTGTGAGAGGAGGTAAGTACCTATTCTACACTGCAAAGGAGGAAGGACCAGTGAAGGTGCACAAATATCAAACCGGGTGGATAGCAACTGCCCAGAATGAATGGATGCGCTTGGAGATAAAAATGAAGCACACCTGTGGGGTACCACACTACTCCTGGAACAGGTATGCTCTTTTCCCAAGAAGTGGGAAAGTAATATGAAATGGGCGGAAAAGGAACATACTTGCAAAAGCATAATACATTCTGAGAGGTGCAAGCTGTAGCAACATATAAACAAAATTAGCTAGGTACATTCCCAACCTCAAATGGACAGACGAGGTTCCATAACTTGTCCTTGGCATTAGGAGGTTGAGGATGGAAAAAAAATGTAATAACAACAAAGTGGCTAGAGCTTGTGGACCATGTTACATATTCCCAACAACCCCAACCATAAGTAAATAGTTTGTTATATGTCAAGAAACTGGAATTATGAAGAGGAAGTGTGCTTTCGGTCATAACTGGACAAACTCCCCAAACCACCATAGGAGCAGGAAGTACAACAAACTGAACCCAGCATTATGGGGTCATGGCACTGCCTCAACTCAACTGTAAGAACAGGGTAGAGCTGTAGCTAGTATTAAGGGCAAAATCTTAACTCATTCAACCATAAATGCAGGGCAGAGACATCCTGTATCTGGAATTATGAGGAGGACATGGAACAATCGCCCAATTGTAGGAACAGAGTTTGAACATCCTTTTGGTGGTATTACGAGGCAGACGAAGTCTTCCAAGCTCAACCATAGATGCAGAAAAAGAACCTTCTGCAACTGAAATTAACAAGAAGAGAGGCATCTACTGCAATCCACCATAAGAACAGGGCATTGTCATCCTGAACCCAGCCTTATGAGGAGGATCCCACATAGGCTGGACCCACACTGATTTATTTTGTCTAGTGCTGTCCACCTGGGAAAAAAACATCCAGGGGAAATGGAAGAGGGAAACCAGCTTCACCCTTTTTTCACTGAGTGGATAATCAGGAGTATGCATTGTAATATATCTAAACTCACTCAAGAAGAAGCCTCCATGGTCCACCACTGGTAAAGACTCCCATTCTCCAGTAGAAGAAAAAAGGTGGGGAGTCCAGAGGAATGTCACACTGGAAACAGTGCACTGGGTGTCTGCAATTCCCTGTTTTGAAAAAGCAGACCAACCCCAATTTATTTGATAGAAGGGTTGGCAGGAATCCCCCTTCTGCTTTACTCATGAAGTTCATGGGTGATGGTCCACCAAAGATAGAAATTGATTGATATCCACCACAGAAAGATACAGCCAGATTGTGCAGATAATGAGCAATGAAGGTACTGGGAATAGTCCATATTCTAGCCTGAATGATCTCCTCAAAAGGATGGCAAAAGTAAGCAGCCAAAGACATTGTTAGATGATGGATTTTTGGTTGAAAGAAACATTATGTAGACAGCAATCTTCCATGGACAAGTCTCTGAATACACCAGTCTTAAAAGTTGATGAACCCAACCAGTGAGAGTAACAGATGACAGATCACGGGAAACTGAAGGGTTCCAGGGAATAAAAAGTTAACAATGCAAACCCTGAAAGAAGGCAGTACGTTAAGGAGCAAACCAGACAAAGAAGTCTATCTTGATTGGAAGAGGAGTACAAGTGGGAAATGGAAGGTAAGGAAATGGATGAGAAAGCCAAACCACCTTCCCAGTCAGCATAGGTTTTAGGGAGGAAAGACTGGTCAGGGCAGAGGATAACATAAAAGGAATGATAAAGGATGCAAGAAATATTAATGTCATAAATATCCGAATGATGACGCCCACAAGCAAGGAGGAGGAAAAAATAGGTTTTAAGGGTGAGATGGTACAAGGAACACGTAACAAGGGCATAAGGACCATGTTAAGATTCCAATCCAGCAAAACAAAGGAACATAGAGAATGAAAGGAATGAAAAAGGAGAGAGGTAACAAGGGAGGAGAAAACCTTACAGAACTGAAAGAAATGGAAAGTGTATAACATGGCTGTCCAATAATTAGACACTGTCAAAACAGACAAGCTCTTGTTAAACAATTAGGTGAAGAATTGGGAAAGATGAGGAAAAGAAGGATGGGAAGGAAGGAAGCCATACTGAACAGACAAAAGGCAGTAAGTAGACCAATGCTTTTGGTAGATGGCCATGGAAGAAGGTATGTTGGTTTGGGAAAGGAAAGATGCAACATGAGGAGTCAGACCTTTGGCTGAGGCAATGGTTGTGATAAAATCCAAGCACAAAGATGGAGTTTGGAGACGTTTGGATGAACAATATCCAATCAAGGTTGACAAAGGAGAAACTGAGTCAGAGATAAAGGCAGGGGATGTTGTATAAGTAAAGGCCAAAGCAGAGGGAACCACAATTGTGCAAACCAATACAGAGCCACAAGCAGGACTAGACAAGAAGTGGTCTGGATGAGGGAAAGAAATCTGACAGGAGTCGAATCGGAGGGTAAGCATAGATGTTAAAACCTCTCCAATCCTGGCTGAATGCATCCACTCCTAGAGCTAAGGGGTGTGGAATGGTAAACTGAAAAGAAGAAAGTTTGTTGTTCAAGTGTGTGACAAATGTATTGATATGAGGTGTTCCCAGGTGAGAACACACCCACCGAAAGAACTGTGGATGCAAAAAACATTCTGTGAGGAGAATCTGGTTGGGGCAAGATAACCAACTGGCAATCAGATTCATAGTACCCGGAACATGGCAAGCTAAAACACCATGTGTTGACCATGGGCCCAGAAAAGGAGAACTAGAGTATGAAACACAGAGACCTGGATTTGATTCCACCTTGCTTGGTGATATAATTGATAACAGTGGAATTGTTGGAGTGGACCATAACCACACTCTCCCACAAGAGAGGAAGGAAATCGGTCAAAGCCAGACAAACCACCAGCAGTTAAATAATGTTGATATGGAGGGCAGGCTCCTAGACGGACCACAGATTGGAAATCTCTAAAGTGTTGAGGAAAGCCCCCAACCTGCTAAAGATGTGTCCATTAACAGAAGTAACTCTGAGCAAGGTGAAGAAATTGGAACCTTCACCATGGTCTGGTTCTTGTTGAGTCACCAATAAGGTCAGCCATGATCTCTGAAGGAAGGGTAACATGATGGTCCAAGGGATCCAGGGAGAAGTTCCACTGGTCAAGAAGCATCGACTGAAGTGAATGCATATGAGCTCAACCCAAGAGAATGAGGGCTTTCAAGGAAGCCCACATCCCAAAGAGGGATAGAACCCCTCAAGCCATGACAGAATGTGAGGTGAGGACCATTGTGACTGCTTGCTCCATATCCCTGAGACAAAGAGAAAAAGGCTGGGCCTGACTGAGGTTGGAATTGAAGAAATGAATAAGGTAAGAACAGACTTCTACAACTTGATAAAAAAATCCACCCTTGCTGCTTCTTGTAGAAGTAAACATGTGTGATCTTCAGACTGAGAACAGAAAGAGGCAAGCAGGAGCCAGTCATCCATGTAATAAGGAGTGCAAGAATCCAACAAGTAAATGTGACGAGCAAATGTGCATACTACTCAATAAAACACATAAGGAACTGATGATAAACCAAACTGTAGTGCCATGAACTGGAACACACGAATCTCGTGGACGAATGGAAGGAAACGACATGATTCAAGAGCAATGGGAATGTGATGATAGGCATCTGTCACATCAAATTTGGTCATCCAGAGTCCCATGGAAAACACTCACTGAAGTGAGAGATAGTACTCCATAGTGAAGCAATGGTGGTCTAGAAAGGAATTTAATGGGGACAGATCAATGATTGGTTACCAATCTATCTTCTTGGGGACCACAAAGAGACCTCAGCAGTGGAGAGGGGTACACCTACTCGATAGCTCCTTTATGCTGGAGGTTTTGAAACGTTTTGGTAAGACAACTGAGAGTGGAAGGATCCCAAAGAGGAGAAAAGTAAATTGGGCTTAAAAAGAGGAGGTGGAGGCCAGAACCAAAGGCAGAAACCATCCAACAGATCCCATAAAACCCAAGGTCCTATCGTTAATTGCCCTAACACAGCCGAAAAGTGTAGCAATCTGGTCCCACCAGTCTGGGAATCTTCATCATGTCACTGACAATGCTGGTGTCTCTCAGCCCTGGTGCAGGAAAATGGGGATAGGGACAGGAATGTCTGGAGGAAGGTAAGGGTCTGGGTGAGTAAGTAGTAGGGGATGGGAGGATGAGACAAACACAATGCCAGGAAGGATAAGGAAGAATGTAACTTTGCCACATCGATCTGTGATTCCAAGGAATCTGGATGACCCCCAAACATAGTTTCCTGTAGGGAAGATGCACC